CAGGACACAGGGAGGGGGGCAGCTGGACGCATCCCATGACTGCGCTCTCTCTGGCACCCATGCATACTCGCTGTTGGGGGAAGACCATGTTAGCAGACTTCTCAACGGTTGAGGAGGTTTTTATGGTAAGAAGATTGGATCGCTAAGTATTTCCTGAACAAAGGTACGCTGGATCTGTGAGAGTAAGTTTTCAGATACACGGAACTTGCTGGAAAATCACCTCTGGCAAGAATAAGTTCCTCAGGGAGAGGCCCGTCGGGACAAAGCAGAGCCCGAGACAGGAAACAGGGCCACGTACTGCTAGTGCCATTTCTTTTTCTTGTTTTAAGGTTTTTAAAAATGTTTATTTGAGAGAGAGAGAGAGTGAGAGAGAGAGAATCCCAAGCAGGCTCCACACCATCAGCACAGAGCCTGGCGTTGGGCTCGAACCCATGAACTGTGTGATCATGACCTGAGCCGAGAGCAGGAGTCAGACGCTTAACTGACTGAGCCACCCTGGTGCCCCCACCAGAGCCGTTTCTAAGAGGAGGCGAGACTCCCCTGGAGGGAGGGAGGAGACCATGTCAGAACTGGCAGCTACTTGGTTGGGAACACAGTAAAAAAGTGTGAAAGTGGCTTCTAATTGGATGTGGCAGAGATGTTACGGGACAGAGAATGTGAGCTGTTTCCAAGAGCAGGCGTAGAAGGAACCCCCAGAAGAGGCGTGTAGAAGACGCTGGCAGGGGCCCGGATCGTCTGCATCGGGACTGCAGGGCGTCCACAGTCCCCAGCCGTGTGGGGCTGTCCCAGCAGGGGCAGATGCTGGTGGTCCACCAACGACCGAGTTACAGATTTGTGCAGAGAGCTCGAAGAACCCCCAGGATGTCAGAAGCACATTAGGACATCTAAATATAGATTTACTTATGGACACGTGGAATTGTAAGCTTGGGAACAACTCCTAGAGAAGGACATAGCCTAACTTGGGGCCCAAGTGGTCTGGACCCGGTAACGTGGCTAGGTCGTGGTGAGCGGCCAGCCATATTCTAGTTCATTAATTTTGCACACTCCACGTTGCCCTTGAAGTTTGGTGCTGGGGGAGGTTATGTGGCAGATAGTGAAACCAGATCAAAGTTCAGTCTCCTTATTTACATCTTTAAAAGTGTCTAACATTTTGGAAACGGTTCCACAGAGTATTTGTTGCAAAGATATTATCAATAATGACATCTAGGGGCCCCTGGGTGGCTCAGTCGGTTAAGCATCTGACTTCGGCTCAGGTCACGATCTCACGGTTTTTAGGTTCGAGCCCCGCGTCGGGCTCCGTGCTGACAGCTCGGAGCCCGGAGCCTGCTTCGGAGTCTGTGTCTCCTTCTCTCTCTCTGCCCCTCTCCTGCTTGCACTCTCTCTCTCTCTCTCTCAGAAATAAATAAACATTAAAACATTACAAAATAATAACATCTCGTGCACTGGTGGAGATTCTGGAACTGCTGAGCAGAGGCACGTGATGACGGCGACTGTCCTCGGCCACAGAGTGGATGTGTGAGCTGAAGGTCCGTGTCCGCCATCAGGGTTAAATCCCGCTAACAAAGGGCTGGCAAGCACAGTCGTGTCTGACACAGCAGATGGCTATCTGGACATCCTGGACTTCCCTCCGAAGACTCCCTGGTCTAGATTGGCTATTTGGATCAACACTGAACACACATCCGCAATTAAAAAAAGAACAACAAACCACGAGAAATTGATCTTTTTTCAGTCTGGTGGAAAGATAATGGATGGCTCATTTGTACAGACATGAAACCCGGGGTCCTGGGCGGGAGGAAACCAAATGACATTAACACCCATTCCAGAGAAGTGACTCAGCTATGTGCTGTCCTCCTGACAGGGGCAGAAACAACCTCCAGAATGCTCGTTCTTCTCAAAGCCATTTGCCGGGAAGAGAAATAGCAATTTCCATCCACAAAATGGGAGGCGACCACGCCACACAGCCACCCCTCCAAGGCACATGCTCACTGCTGATGTGCTCCTTCGAAGACCGTGTGGCCCGAGACAAGATGCACACGGTTCACCGAAAAGACAGGGAGCCGCGACGGGGAGGCTCGGAACACAGACCTGGAGGCGGGCCGATCGGCACGCATGGTTCCTGCTGTCTGTGGGAGCTGGAAAAAACATGGCAGAGTTCATCCATCACACGGCTGGAGCCCAGCATCCTTGCGAGCTTCCCCCCAGAAAGCCCTGCCCTTCAGTCTTGGGAGGATGTTCCCTTCTGTGCTGCATGTGGCCGTGTTGTTGTCTGTCACGGTCACGGCCTTGTTGGTTGGTCCCGTTCTGCACGTGGTGGGCCACAGGTCGGGGTAACACCGTGAAGGTTAGGGGTTTCCTCTCCGCCAGTCTGGGTCGCTGACCCTCCAGTGGATTCCAATCCTAAACGAAGAATGTCCTCAGAAAATACAGAAAGAAGAACACACGAGCAAACAGGAGATACGGACCACGAGACGTCGCCCCTCGTCCCTACTTGTGCACGGACGAAGGAGGCCACTGGTGCAGCCTCTCGTGCGTTTCTCTGATTTAGACGCGCTGCTGGTTACGAATGACACTCACTATCTGTTTCCCATTGGGGATTTATGGGCAACGGCCGCTCAGTTTGGCAGTGATTTCTTTGAGCCACAAGATTCCTCCTTGTCAAGCAAAACAGTAGCGCTTTCTGGGACACCTCCATCTGATGCGTCAGGAAGGAATTCAGGAGGCAGAGGCTGGCATGGCTTTTCCCTCTGATAGTGATTCACTGGAAAATTATTTCCCATCAAGAACGGGCTTCCATTTCTTTAGCGGCTTTTCTGCTCGCCCTTCCATGCCCAGGACCACAAGCTGGCACCTGCTTGCTCCTGGGAAGGTCTCCAAGGGACACACCGATTGGCGTGAACATCCGCTAACTTTAAGTCTCCTCTCTCTTTTTGTTTAAATTTTAACATTCATTTATTTTTGAGACACAGAGAGAGAGCATGAGCAGGGGAGGGGCAGAGAGAGAGGGAGACCCAGAATCGGAAGCAGGCTCCAGGCTCTGAGCTGTCAGCACAGAGCCTGACGCAGGGCTTGAACTCACGGACTGTAAGAACACGACCTGAGCCGAAGTCAGATGCTTAACCGACTGAGCCACCTTGGTGCCCCTGTAAGTCTCCCCTCCTAAAAAAACCTCCAGAAACCAAAAACCAAGGGGAAAAGTGAGGTGATTTCAAATGGTCTAAATTAATTCAACTGGACCTAGTGAACCTCTCCAGCCACCGCTGCTGCCTCTGAGCGCTGGGCTGGGACTGTGGCACGCGGGTTGGGCAGGGTGGAGGGGTGGGGATCCCCCGGCACCACCTCACGGGCATCTCCCCCCATGCATGAGACCCCAGGCGTCCATAGTCCCGGGTACTTGAGAGGCTCCATCACCATCCCGCCATCCCGAGCATCCCAGGGGCACCTGCCCGCGTCAATCTCCTGCTGGCTCTCTGAGCAAAGACCGTTTTCGAAGCACAGCCCGCCTGTTTGGCCTCTGAAATGATCTGCTGCATTGGGATTTTATAGGAGTTTTATAATTCCTCCAGTCCCCACTGCCGCCAGCCGTCCCCCTTTCTCTTCTCAACCCCTGGCCTGGCCATGTGATGTCAACCAGCAGCGCCTGCCCCGTGGCCCGCACCCCGCTTCCCTGCTAGGAGAGCGTCCTGCCCTCTCCCCTGGGGGGGGGCGCCATGCCTCTGAATCTGCGTCTCCCACCTCCCCACAGTCTGGCATGCGTGCTGGTCACATACGCGAAGGATGAAAACATACGGGGCTTTATGAGTATTCCACTTTACAGCAAGGGTAGAACCTTCAGATACGTGTCGGGTTGGAAGCGCGCCATTGACCCAGCAAGTTTCCTTTAAAAAAGCAATTAAAGGGGCGCCTGGGTGGCTCAGTTGGTTGAGCGTCTGACTTTGGCTCAGGTCATGATCTCGCGGTCTGTGAGTTCGAGCCCCGTGTCGGGCTCTGTGCTGACAGCTCAGAGCCTGGAGCCTGCTTCGGATTCTGTGTCTCCCTCTCTCTCTGCCCCTCCCCCATTCGCGCTCTGTCTCCTTCTGTCTCAGAAATAAATACACATTTAAAAAAAATAAAAAAATTAATAAAGCAATTAAATAAGAGAAACCGAAATACCTCATTATCATATGATTTGCTACCTTACGCTTTTTTGCTTCGCACGCTAACCGATTCACAGAGACACAGTTTACGAGCTTTCAGGCCAAGAGGCTATAAGCTGAGCCAACCACCTGCAGGTCAGTGAGGTGAGGAGTCAGGGTCCAGCCTGCTCTGAACCAGGGCTGCTTGGAAAGTAACAGAGCTGAGCGTTTTCCTAACACAAAATGTGGACTTTGAAGAAGCTTTTTTAAAAATAGGTTTTGTTTGCTTTAGTTCCCACGGCCGGACCGGTGTGCAGCAAAACCCCAGTGTCTCTTCTCCACGTGTCCAGTCAGGTCGCCTCGAGTCTCCACGGCAAACACCTTTGTGAAATGGCGTAGGCCACCCTTTGTGTTACTTTCGTTCCCTCTGTTCTTCATTTTAAAGGACACGGACCACGCTAAAATGAGTTGTTGGTTTGGCCCCTCTGAGCAGAGCCCAAACCGACAGTAAACAGCACCAAACCCGCCCTCGTGACACACCGGGTCGTAGTTTGATGACGCTTTTACCTGTGAACTCGTTCTCCACGTCTCCGCCTCCCCGACTCACAGGAGGTGGTCAGGACTGTGATGATGGGATACACGGATGCATGCAAATTTATAATAAAAGACAAAACCAAACAACCATGGACGGAACAGTCCGTTACAAAATGGAGCTGTGCTAAACCAACCCAATGGTTAGGAAAGAAGTTGGAAATGTGTGGGCGTGCTCTCAAGGTCTCAGAAAAATTCAGGAAGTGCACCAGATGTCTTCTGTTAAGAGGCGTTGGAAGTCCCGAGAGCTACATCTTTTTTTTTTTTTAAATATAAGTTTATTTGTGAGAGTATGTTTTTCCTCTTAAATAGTTCTCTTCGAAAACTTCCCAAATGGAATGCTGGCCAAAAGTGGTGAACCCTTCAGGCTTCAGGGAGCGACTCTGAGTATGTGCACTTGAACGTGAGAGTCCCTACAGGAGGCAGAGATCTAGGTCAATCATCTGAAACACTTCATTTTCTGAATAGCTCTTTTCTCTTACTTACTGAAGCAGAATCAGGGCTTTTTCTTTAATCTAATCAGTCAGGAGTTGTATAGTGCAGGCTCAGAGGTAACCATATTTTCCCTCTTTGGGAGGTGATATAAGAGGTCATAATGGTAAGCATGCTGGTATTTTTGTGTGTTTTTGACATAAGCATTGATAAATAAGGATCACATTCAAGGACTCAGAAATCAAGTTAGTAAAGACTATTTAAAACACTGGGGTTTTCTGCGTTTTGGTTATAATTTTGAATGTATGTTTGAATACGAATGAAATGATACTTTTCTTAGTGTCATTTTTTTTTTAAGTTTTATTTATTTTGAGAGAGAGAGTGCATGAGTGAGTGGGGGAGGGCGGAGAGAGAGACAGAGAGAGAATCCCAAGCAGGTTCCGTGCAGTCGGTACAGAGCCTGACGTGGGGTTTGAACCCACGAACCATGAAATCATGACTTGAGCTGAGATCAAGAGTCGGACACTTAACCAACTGAGTCACCCAGACACCCCTACTTTCATTGTTTTGTAATCGACTTCGGGCTAGAAAAGCTGCCTTGAGCCCCATTTTGTCCAGTTATCAGCAGGAGAGGGACAGAAATTTCCTTTTGACCAAAGTTTCAAAAGCCACAGAATGAATTAACGTCCAGAAAACATCTAACATCTTATTGCAACGTCTTGTCAGCTCAGAACTTTCCCACCTATGCTGCTCCTACAAGTTGGTCACACACACCAAGTGTGTACGGACGATTAGGTTATGTAATGAACATGCACTACATGAATGAATGAAAATGGAAGTCACCACCCCGGCTGGCCGGTCCACGAGGCTGTAGGAACAGCCGGTGCGTGAACCCTGGGAGAGGTTAGAAACGCAGCTGGTGTGTGTTTGGGAGAATTTGTCTGGTTACTACACATGGTTATTGGATATATTATGAATATGGAACAAATTCAAGAACATTAGATTCTCCTAGCCTTGTGGCGATTACCAAAGTCATCAAGAATTTTAATCAAGCATCTTACAGAAGGAACTTGTACAATTATCAAATGACAGAAGCTGTGACCGAAGCCAGCCTCATTCAAATCCTCCTGTCTCAGCCTTGAAGCAGTGCTGTTCCCTCTGAAGGGGGCAGGTGGCCTCTCATCTTCCTGGCAGGAAGACCATGGACCGCAAATATAACCAGATTAAAATAAATTAGGAGAGTTGTGTGGGAATTTACATTTTCAAACATTTTCACAACCAATCCCTCCAAACTTAAGCCATTTCCCCAAAGTCCCAATATTTTCATATATTACACAAAAGTGGATTGTGTCGCCTGAGGAACGGCGGGCATCTGGAGAAGGGAAGGTTTCATAAGCCCTAGGCTGGGACCAACCCTTGTTATTTGTGGAAAAGAAAAGAAGTCAAATGGGTCAGATAGGCAAGACTGCAGGTCTGGGGCCAACTCACAGAACCACTTAGAACCCATTATGGGGGCGCCTGGGTGGCTCAGCCGGTTGAGCGTCTGACTTCAGCTCAGATCATGATCAGGTCATGTTTGTGAATTTGAGCCCCACGTCAGGCTCTGTGCTGACAGCTGGGAGCCTGGAGCCTGCTTCAGATTCTGTGTCTCCCTCTTTCTCTGCCCCTCCCCTGCTCATGCTCTGCCTGTCTCTGTCTCTCTCAAAAATAAATAAACATAAAAAAAATTTTTTTAAAGCCCCATTATGGGTAAAGCTAGATTATTTCCCTCCCAGAGTGGCTGGGACGGGATGTTTCAGATTTGCCCCAAATGGCAGCATTAATCTGTCCCTGATCTGGGACATGTCTGGCAGGGGCTTTGGATTGTTTCTGGACTGGGAGCTCCTCGGCGAGGTTTCCAGCCTCACAGGCTTGAGGATGTGTGTCCAGGAAGAACCCATTTTCTGCCTGGGTGACTCTGGGCAAGTGGTTTAACCTCAGACTCAAGGTCTATGAAGTGAGCATTTCGTGTGGACCCGGGGAGTTGAGCAGCTGGCTAGGCACGTGTGATGTCCACAGCTTCCCTCTCCTACTTCTCTTTCCTCCCGCTTGTACCTTAAACGTCCTTCACAGGAGCTACTGGAACACCTGTGTACGGTGGCTGCTTTACAACCTGTGTGTTCTCTTGATTTTCCTGCCAACGAAGAAGGTTCTTATGACTAAAAACTGGCAGGAGTTTGTGGTTGATCTCTTGATAAAATGGCCCAAGCAAGCCAAGACAAATATGGTTAGACGGTCAAGGGAGAAGATAAAAAACAAGCTTTTTAAATGGATTTGGCCCAAATAAAGTGACTTTTTAAAAATCAGTCTAAATTAATTTGGTTGGTGGTCTCACAGGCGGCTGGATGACTTTCCACTCTGACCTGCCTCTGGGCTAGATGCAGCCGGTATGATACCAAGTGGATGGCACTTGTCTTACTCCGTTCCTCAGGTCAATGATGGCCCTAAATTGTATCTCTCACCCTTTGTTGATTTATATTTGCTGCTGTTATTTAAAAATTTTTTAAATGTTTTATTTATATTTTAGAGAGACAGAGAGACAGTGGGGGAGGGACAGAGAGGAGGAGGCACAGAATCCAAAGCAGGCTCCAGGCTCTGAGCTGTCAGCACAGAGCGCGACGCGGGGCTCAAGCCCACGGACCGTGAGATCATGACCTGAGCGGAAGTCAGCTGCTTAACCGACTGAGCCACCCAGGTGCCCTAGCTGCTATTATTTTAATAGGCTGGTTGAGTTTTTCCTCATAGCAGACAGGCATTTTATTATTTTTAATTGCACTTAAGTAAATACACTTCACACTTTGCCTTTTTTTTTTGCCCTAAAGCAGGAAATACAAATATTAATGGAAACAGCCAAGACGGAGAAGGGACAAGAAAAGGAAGCAGGAGCGAAAGAAGAAAGCTGGTTTTTGGCTCAGATTTGCGCACGTTTCTAAAAATAACATCAAAGCCCTCAGAACACGTATGGCCTGGGGGCGCCTGCACTTGTTGGATGTTTCCCAGGGTGTCCAACAAGGCTGCTTTCAGCAAATAGCAGCCCATCTTTTCAAATTAGAGGGCTGTTAAAACGTGGCTTTAGAAAATCTTTTCCAGGACTCGAAAGAAGAGATAAATCTATGAATCTGAAAACATGGCGTAAAAGTCTTATTCTAACTAGTGTCCTCGGCCCCCAAGCTCAGAGCTGGTCTCTCCTCTATGTCCACAAAGCACGTGGAGTTAGTATAATTAGTTTGGGGCTCAGGTCACATGGTTGACCGCTGCTTCAGCAACATGCTTTGCAAGGGGCGGTCCCGTTCGGAGACCATATTTCCACTTTTGATTTATTCCCCAAATGTCTGCTCTTCCAAGGCTGTGAAATATGCCACCTACAGTGTTCTAAAAAAGTGAAAAAATAGTTCACCAGTCTACTACTATAAAAATACGCATCCATCATCAAATGAAACAGGAAATGAGAAATTCATCCTGCAAAGTTCTCTTCTAATAAGTTCCCCCCACTCCCCCCCCAGTCAAGCCCATCGATATTGGTGACTTGAGCGTTCAGATGACAGGGGCGCAGGCCAGGGACACGGGGTGGTGGCTGATGATGCCAACAGGGTGTCTCAGGTTCCGGGGCAGCACGGGGCACCTCCCTGTTACAGCTGTACTTGGCAGAAGCCCTGTTAGCAGCAGCCCAAGACTCTTGTGATGCAGCTGTAAGTAAATGGACTGTAAAATGATCTTCAGACGAATATCAATGGGGGTGTATAAACAGAGGACCAGAAGACGTTTTCCAAAAAGTCTCCGCCTGTCATGTAATATTAACAAGGCTGCCTTGTGGTCTTGGCAGCCTGGGCTCCGGCCTGAGCAACGTTATGACCAAGGATGGTAAGGCTGTGAAGAAGCCCATATTAGTCATGACCCAGGAACCCGGGCTCTCACAAGAGAGTGCAGTGCCCCGGCCAAAACACGCAATCGGATCACAGGACATCTGCATACTTAACTTTTCCCTAAAATCTCGCTATGCCTACAGTCTGACCTGTCCAACAGTTTAAAAACATGATGGGTGGCAAATCTTTGGCATCCGTAACTAAGAAACAGCAACCATTTAAATATCAGTGTTGATTTTATTTTATCATTAGGGATTGGAAACCCTGTTTAATTCTTTCCTTTCAGGATAAAAAGGTCAACCTTGTCATTTCCATTAAAAACTTGAATGGCTTAATTTTAGAGTTTCATGGAATTTAACTATAAGATGTTTAGTCTTTATCTTTTGGAGATCATTAAGGGGGTGAGTGTGTCTGATGATTTGCTAGCGAACCAGAGACGTGAAGGCACGTTCCAGAAAAAATTAAATGATTCTCTTTTCTAGGGCTTCTTGCTGGCTAAATCCCATTGTCCTGGGAGCCTGTCCAAGCAGAGAGCTCACCTCGGTAATTCCTGACACACAGGAACTCTGGGGCACCTGCCTGTGGGGGAATTATCGCTACCCACCACTTAGGGGGCAAGAGAAACCTGCACATGTTTCCCCAAGTACTGGGTTGGTTGTTAAAAAACCCTTTCGATCTGCATTGTCCAATCCCACAAATCCTCAAAGACAGATTCCCATTTAAAAAGCATAATGGAGGGTCTAGATCGGTGTATCCCTTGTCATGAATGGACCGTCCTACTGGAGGATGTCAGCAATAGGGAAGCAGGGGGAGGACGGTGGGGGGAGTGGGGGAGCAGTCTCAGTACCTTCCGAACAATTTTGGTGTAAATCTAAAACTGCCCTAAAATGAAAAGCCTTTTTAAAATAATAGAAGAGAGGGAAAAAGTACATTCCATTTATTTTAGCCTCATTTTCATTAGGACCTTTTACTTGTTTGGGGTTCTTGCTTATGATCTATTTTATTCCACAACCCTCAAGTGGAATTAAAGACTTGGATCTAAAGCGTCCTTAGTGAGACAGCTTGTTGGGAAAGATTTTTAGTTATAAACAGAGTTTTATATGTAGTTGATATAATGGCCAAGTCTAAAGAGGAGGAGTAGAGCCTTACGGGAGGAATGTGTCACATTCTCATGTAACTTTGCAAAGCGAGGGCTGGTGATGGGGGTGGGGAGAGGGAGAGAGGGGTGGGGTCGGGGAAGAGGGAGAGGGAAAGAAAAGGCAGAAAAGAGAGATCACTTATTGAAATTGGCACCTTGCTGGCCATTCTACCCAACATGCAAACCTCCCATCTGTGCCTTTCACACAGAGCGTGTCTCTCCACAATGGACGAAATTACTCTCTTTGAACCTCCTCTCTTTTCACACAACACGGTAGTTGCAATTACTTCATAGAAAGTGCTTGGCAGAAGAAAAAGTGGGCGGTTCCAGCATGGACAGCAAAGCTGGTTGTGTGGACAATCACTGGGCGGCTGGGGGCTTCCGAAGGGGAACGTTCACATGACCCGTCATGGATCGTACTCACGGACCTGAGGTCCTGCTCCCCCGAGGAGACGTGTCTCCACTGGTTACTTCCAAACCTGTGGAGGACTAGTCTGCACAGAACTGCTCGAGCAAGGAGCATTCTCTCTGTGTTACCATCAATAAGCTGTGGATAATTCGAGCATCACGAGATGTGTCTTGTTCTGGAATCACTTATGAATGAAAGCCAAGTGTATGGAAGATGTGGCAGTGGAGGGGTTCGGGGCCACTGGCTGGGCTGCGTAACAAGCACCCGATGAGCCAGAAGTCCTGCTGGCCGTCTCCATGTCCCATGTGATGGGTTGCATCTCACCCTAGCAGAGGCACACACAAGCTAGTCAAACCCTAACCCATTGACTAGAAAGTACTGGAAGATGCCTAAGTGGATGTGTCAGATAGCAAGGAGAGGACCGCAGAGTGAACCCTGGCTGGAGTCACGCACCCAAGGACGTTCTTGAGTCACTGAGTACAGTGTTAAGAAGCAGATTTATGTCGGGACGCCTGGATGGCTCAGTCAGTTAAGTGTTCTACTGTTGATTTTGGCTCAGGTCATGATCTCACTGTTTGTGGGACTGAGTACCATGTCGGGCTCTGCATTGACAGCACAGAGCCTACTTCAGAGTCACTCTGCCCCCCTCTGGTCTCTCTCTCAGTTAAATAAATAAACATTAAATATATATTAAAAAAAAGTGGATGTATGTCAGCACGCCCGGGATGTGGGGCGTTGCTCTGGGGAGAGTATCTGGAAACATCCACAGCCCACGATACAATGGCACCATCAGGGAAAGACTTCTGACCTGGAAGTAAAAGGCTTTTCTGTTTTCTCATGTGCACGTGCATACGATTATCTGTCAAGCTCTGAGCAGCCCATCTAAACCCCCGCTGTCAGGGCCATCCTTAAAAAAGCCCATCTGGTCATGGGGGCCTGAAATACAAGTACTCAGTGGCTTCCTTTCTTTTTAAAAAAATTTTTTTTTAACATTTATTTATTTTTGAGACAGACAGAGACAGAGCATGAACAGAGGAGGGGCAGAGAGAGAGGGAGACACAGAATCGGAAGCAGGTTCCAGGCTCTGAGCCATCAGCCCAGAGCCTGACACGGGGCTCGAACTCACGGACCGCGAGATCGTGACCTGAGCTGAAGTCGGATGCTCAACCGACTGAGCCACCCAGGCGCCCCATCAGTGGCTTCCTTTCATTCTCAGAGAGGCCGAGCCCTGCACAAAGCCTCCCTCCTCCCGCACAGGCTGATCTCTGGCCCCCAGCAAGGCCCCTGGCCGCCTGCTCCTTGCTCAGGGCTCACACCCGCCTGGTACACCTGGGGCACGAGCCACTGCCTTCCTCCTAGGACCAAAGTCCTTCTGTCTTCAAACATTCCTCTCTTTCCTCCACCTCCTGGCCCTACTTCCCCTGCTGACCAGCCACCAGACCTCCTTGGCTCCTCTCCCTCCTTGCCCAACACCCCATCTCGTCTAGGCCCTACTCAGCTGGCCGCGTGACTCTTTTCGGGACCATCTCACTGTGTCATCAGCCTTCCCATCACTACACCTGGCTCCTTCAAACACCCTTTCCAGCACGTCAGGCCACACAGCAGGCCTGCGGTGGCCCCCCACCGCCCTGCGCAGAGCCTTCCCGCTGCACGGAAAGTCCTCTATCCAGACTCGGCCTGTCTCCTTCCTGCCCTTGGCCCTTTGCTCAGGATGCAGCCCCATGGGCGGGATGCACTCTGGTCAAGGTCATCTAGGGCCAAGCCCCCGCCGCAATGGTGCGCACAGAGGCCTCCAGCACAGACTCTTGCTGTTTAAAGGGACTTCTGTTCCACCCATCTGTGTTACCCAGACTCCCAGCGATTGTGCCCTTCCTTCTTATGTGTTAATTTTCTGTGTCTTTAATGGACTGTAAGCTCCTCAGGATGGGAATCATAATTCTTTGTGCTTTCTAAGCTTCATGCATTTATTTTAAAAATATTTATTTATTTATTTCTCAGAGAGAGACCGTATGTGTCGGGGAGGGGCAGAGAGAGAGAGAGAGAGAGAGAGAGAGAGAGAATCCCAAGCAGGCCCAACTCGGGGCTCAGTCCCACGAACTGCAAGATCATGACCCGAGCTGACATCAAGAGCCAGACACTTCACCGACTGGGCCCCCCAGATGCCCCCCGTTTATTTCTTATCATAGTGATCTGTGTGTTACATAAAACTTACCCTTTTAACCGTTTGAAGCGTGCCGTTTGTTGGCATTGAGCACACTCACAATGTTGTACAGCCAACAGCTCATTGACATCCTAAACGTAACAGCCCCCGTGGGACAACACCGCCTGTGTCTTCCCTCTCTCAGGCCCCCGTAGCCTGGAGTTTGCTTTCTGTCTGGAGAATGTGCCAGCTCTGGACATTCCACGTGTGAGCGTGGGCATACACCACGTGTCCTCTGTGGCCGGCCCCTTCCGCGGGGCTTGCTGTTTCCAAGGTTCATCCGGGCCGCGTGTGTCCGCACGTCACGCCTCGGCGGGGCCGAAGAGCGCTCCGGCGTGTGGATGTCCACACTCTGCGTCCCCATTCGCGCTGGCGGGCTCCTGGGTCGTCCCCAGCTTTCGGGGACTGTGAAAAGCACCGCTAGGAATGTGGTTTACGCACAGCTGCTCGAGGCCCTGTTTTCAATTCTCCCGGGCGCATAGGTAGGGGTGCAATTGCTGCTCCCTAGGTGACCGTATGCTTACTTCTTGGAGGAGCAGGACCCCTTTTCCTTGCGTTTCTGTGGTGCCTCATACTGCTGGCGGGGGCTGGGAGGAGACGGTGGGCACACGGCTAGTATCTCATGAACTCAGTGGCAGCAGAAGGCAGCGGTTCGCAGCACGGGCTCTGGAGCGGGAAAGCCTGGGACAGCAGTGTTGACCCTGGGCAGGCCGGCCTCTCTGTGCCTCCGTTTCCTCATCTGAAGGTGGAAGTGAGCAATCTGCCTCCCTGGGTTGGTGTAGCAGAGGAGTGAGTACGTGCAAAGCGTGAAGCACTGCCAGGAGCAAAGAAAGCAGTGTCCACGTGTCTGCTGTTGCTCTATAATGACGGTAAATTAGGACCCCCGCGCCCCCTCGTCCGGGGGCTAGGAGATCCCCCGAGGATGTGTGCAAGAAACCCAAGCTAAAGACACAAGTCAATCAGCTACAGCACGGGCGGTCGAGGCTTGGCTTCTCCCCCCATCCTTCCAGCGTCTCCCTGAACCATTAAGGATGCGGGCGGGCCTGTGGGGTTCCACCGTCACTGCCTTCTGCAGGAAGCCCTTCACCAGCCACGGGTCCCACAGTCAAGTTCCGGGAAGAGGCATTTTGCCTCTCATTATATCTGAGTCATGCATTAAAGGTCTCTTTTCTAAAAACTCTTAATAGTACGATTCTCTTGAAATGGTCCAGAATTACGGCACAAAGTCTAACTGAAATGGGGGTGACTAAAATCCAACAGTAAAAACCTCCTTACCCAGAGAATTGAAGGGCAATTCAACAGAAACGTCATTTCGTTTTTACGTAAGGCTTGCGTCACACTGAATGACAGTCGTAAAATTATAATCCTCACATAATTTCCACACCCAAGTACTGCCATTTAATTTTGGAAATTACTCGTGGCTGGAAGAGTAATCCAGCCTTAAGAAACCAAGCCAGTGGTAGGTGCGGTTAGATAATTTTATTTTTCCTTTGAGAGTCTTTTATTATTTATTTACTTATAAGAGAGAACGAGTGAGCGTGCACATGCGTAAGCAGGGGAGCGGCAGAGAGACAGGGGACACAGAATCAGAACCAGGCTCCAGGCTCCGAGCTGTCAGCACAGAGCCCGATGCAGGGCTTGAACTCACAAACCGCGAGATCGTGACCTGAGCCAAAGTTGGAATCCTGAGCGACTGAACCCCCCAGGTTTTTAAATGAGCTTGTTAGAGACATGAAAAAGACAATCACACAAGATGAGCTTTATTCACCATTCTCATAAATTTGTGCTATTACAGGGCTCCTAGAGTCATGTGCAGGTCACA